GCACATTGGCGGGGGAACTCCCGGGGCGGTCGAGGCCGGGACAGGGGTCACGTGGGCTTGGCAGGACAGGGGCTTAACCAGGTTACACAATGCACTCGTCTGGAGAGCATTAGTGGCATCCAGCGTGGGGGCTTCTCAGCCTGGAAGCAAGATAGCCTGCCGTGAAGGGAAAGGGGATTTCCAACCCTGCCGGTTGCGTGGGGCTTGGGGAGGGGAAAGGGAGCAGCCTGCAGCAATGCAGCTGGGAGCAATTCCTGCTGGCAAAGCACAACAGAGTCTTCTGGTGATGCACTGTGTCCCTCGCGAAAAAGGATGGGCCCTGAGCCGAAGGCAGAATTGTAGAGGTCAAGGTATAGATCGAGTTAGGAACCTGTTACTATCCGCAGGAAATTTAGGAGATGTGAAAACAGGTACACGTACACTCACACACAAAGTTAGTTGGGCCGAAACATGAAGGCACGTAAAGCTTTCTGCTCAAGCTGTCCAAACATGGCAAATAAAGAGGGGGGCAGCTCAGCTTGCCGCTTACTCTCTAAATAGGAGACAAAGTGAGGGAAAGCTTGCCTCGGGTAGCACAGGGGAGCCACAAAACACAACCGCCGTCTCTGTCCTATAGAGCTTCACCCCCTCCCTTGCCCATTTCAGGAGACACAAAGCTGTTGCTAAAGCAAAGATATCTAAAGTCAAGAGAAGCATATAGACAGTCAGAGCAGCCACCGCTGCAGAAAAAGGACAAGTACACTATCTCCCGTTAAAGAGCAAAGACACTTTTTTCCTTACCAGTTTACCATCATAGCTGCGTTGTTTTCTGCAATGAACGGCAGCTCCCCTCTCGCCTTCATCGTTGCCAAGAAAAAGATCCAGAGGATGTACTGGGGCATATCCTACAAGCTCGTCCTGCTCCTCACAGCAAGAAAACCATCCAGCCCAGGCAATGAGTGCTCCAGTGTGTCAGCTCCAGGCCACTTCCAGTTTGCAGCTTTGCCTGTGAAAGTTCCTTCTACTCTTCAGCCCAAGGAAACGGGGGACTCTTCAGACAAATCCCAAAGTTTCTGCCCAGTAACCACCTCCCTCCTGTATCCTAAGATTTAGGCTAATAAATGCTTGGTTTCCAATGTTGAGATTTTATATTAATGTCCCGGGTTACGTCTGGGCTGGCTGGATTCTGATTGCAGGGTGGATCACAAAGAGCAGGACACAGATTGTAACCGGGGATTAGCAAAATACAAAAATCCGATTTTGCACAGGGAAAGCATCAGTCAGCGATGGATTTTCTGGACTTCATCAAGCTCGTAGGAGGCCAGTAATCAGGGTTACTTATGAACAGCCATCTAAGGCATTTCTTCCTTCTATTGAATTGTTGAACATAGAAAAGAAAAACCAAATAGCTATTGCACAAATCCAAGTGCTTGGACCTTTTGTGGGTTTTCTGACACACAAGTCAAACTACACAGCCCTTGCAGCTGCATAGGCAAAATGTGTATGTCATAGGACATTTATGTTCTCCTTTCTAGCAGACTGTTTTAAATGGAAATGCTGGACCTGCACCGATCCTTGGGATTCTGCTGATTTTGTAGGCAAACCGCTAAGTTTGGCTGTCTTCTCAGAAAAAATATCCTGGCACTCCCAATTCACCAACCAATCTTGAAATTGGGAACATTTTAGCCATGCCACAGAAAATTACACGTGCCACCTGTTTGAGGGTTTTTTTTTGTACTAACATCCCCAAATGTCATTCCCCCCAAAAGAGAAGATATTTAACTCCTCACATGGCTTCCAACAGGCCCAATATCTGTTATGTCCTGGTGGTGCAAGTGCTGAAAACAATCAGATATGGGATTTGGGTCCAAGTGGATCTCGCTGCTCTCCGCAAATGGTTGCCCAGTTCTGTTCCCCATACCCAGAATCTCTCATCGCTAACTTAGGATCTGCAGTGCCACAAAACAAAACAAAAACCCACTCTTTTATCTTCTGCCAGCTGGAGCCTGAGCTCTGAAATATCCAAAGCTTAAATAATAAACGAATCATTCAACCCTTCATTTTGCACCAAATAATTCTGATTTTTCCTTGAGATGAATCTTTCCCCTGCATCACTATGAAAAGGACACAGGCCTCTCTTGTGGGCCAAATATTCTGCGTGTCAACACGGTCAGGGACTGCGGTGTCACAGATCTAACGTCAGGATCTTGCCAGAATAGTTGTTGAAACACCTGAGTCCAGGTATATCCAGTAAACAAACAAGCCTGGGGGCTGGTCCAGCCTTATTAAAATACTCTATTGAATCCCAGCATAATGGCAATGGAAGAATGCATGTAAGATCCTGGAAAATTTGTAAGCATGATCTCCAGAACTCCATCATCTAGATACCAAAAAAATACTGTAGCAGCTTCTAAAGCATAAAAAGCCCCTTAAGACCAGCAGCAGCGCAGCAGCATAGCTCTGTGAAGAAATGCAGCCATTCCCGCTCTAGGGCTTTTCATTAGTGCTAAATTTGTTATTAAAATTGTTTTGTGCAGTGATGAGTGGACCCCATCAGGAACAGGATTCTCTTTTAAGTGCTACATAAACCTGTAACAAAAATTAGCTCTTGCTCAAGAAAGCTTATGGTCTAAGGATAAACAGTGGCCTTACGGAAGTAAAAGGAAGCTTTGCTACTCCAACAGAGCCAGGATTTTGTTCTGTATAAACAAAAGGCCAACTCAGGCAGCTTTTAGCTTTACTTTAAGTAGTGGTCCCAGGGCATTAAAAACCAAGCTGTGGGGTTTTCTTAAGCCCTAAGTGTGCTGGAGGAAGCATTCCCAGTGCAGGCATTTTTGAAAGGGATAGCATGGGAAATTGGAGAAGATAATCGGTTGGGAGAAGAGCAGGTACAAAATCAAGGTGATACCATTATTTCAGTGGAGACAAGAGCTTTGATAGGTTAAAGAAAATGATAAGGTAAAAAATCAGCTGTGGAGGGCCATCAAATGTAGGCATTCATTTTCTGTATTTTAAAAAGGAAAAAAGGGGTCCTGTTTCTCTGCTGAAGCTGTGCAGGTTTTTTTTACTCCGACTCCGAAAGCATACTGTCAAAATCAATAATGCACATTGTCACTCCTTAGCGAGCAGGGAAACCGTGACTCAAACACATCCCAGTGCAGTAGCAATTCAGAAACAGATTACAGGCACATAGACCCTGCTGCTCCTGCCATATTTTATGGGCAATCCACAAACTGAACGCTCCTAAATAAAGAGCAAGTGGGGTTCCTTCTGAGACCACAGCATGTTCAGCATCCCTGGTTCAAAATTACACTAAATGGAAGGGAATTAGATGTCACTTCACGGGGATTTTCTCCCCAGTTTCACAGCATTCCCTGTCCATCTCCACATCCCTCGTCACGGAACCGTTTCACCAGAAAATCAGACTCCAGAAGAAAGTCATAAAGATTGAGGCAGGCTGTCAGGTAAGGTATTTCTGTGCTATTCCAGTCTTGGAATACAAGGTCTGTAAACGTCATCCAGAATAATGGAGCTCCTCTAGCATAACATATCAGCGCAGCTATACCTGCAAAATCCCTTTCACTGTAGACCTGTTCTCCGCTAATTAGCCATATTGTCACTTAGAAATAATCTGCCAAATCTAACTGCTTAGCAATGCTGGCTGCAGCTCAACTTGGGCTATTCACTCAAGGCAGAATCAGTCTGTTACATGTTTTCCTTTTGTGGCTGGTCTATAGGGACTAACAGTCAAGTCTTGCAACTGAGATTATAGCTATATTTGTTTTGTTCTTGGAGGACAATATATCTTTCTGAACAGGCATTACTCCGATTCATCAGTAGCCAGCTGAATGATGGCATGCTTTTATATTAATTTGGTATCAATGTGAGTGGAGATCTGTTAGGGTTTGAAGGGGTTGGTTGTTTTTTATTCTTACATTTTGGTTTTACTCTTATTTTTCCTAGGCAAATAGTAGCCTGTTTTTAGCTAGCAAGATTTTGGCTGTGGGGAGCAGTTACCATCAATGAATAGCCTTCAGTAACAACTATATGGTTTTACAGGAACAGTCTGAAAGAACCAGTTAAGTTTTGATTTTTTCTGAAACATTAGGGAAGGTGACAGCTGGTCCGTCGATTTCGGAGTGCATTTTTTTAAGCTTTTATTGAAATTTAGAGGACCTGACAAAAGCCAGATTAAGGCAATGCTGTGAATTTGGCATATAAAAAAGACATGGAATTTAGCACTGCTGTGGCAGCGTTCAGTGAATTCTCCATGCAGGCAGTACGATATTAATTGCACAAGTGAACAAGACATGGTGCAATGTCTGTCCAGCAACAGATTATCTTTCCAAGGGCTAAGATGTACCAAATTCTAGGAAAACTGCATGCACTAGAGGGGATTTTTTTTTCTGGAGGGGCAATTTGATGGGTTTGGGTACTGAGATCAACAAGACCTCCCAGGATCCATGTGGAAAGCTGAAATTTTTGCAGCACTAACACTGGCACAGGCAGCCCCTAAAGTGTGGTGCACAAGGAGTGTCTGGACCCGTTCTCATTCTTGAAAACTGATGGCTTGGCAGTAACAGTTGCCCTAAAGAGGTTAAGTCCTGCTGCTAAATCAGGTTTCTAAGAGTAGATGGCCTTAATCGTTACTCTGGTTAGACAGTTTGTAGGACTGAATCAAAACCAGGCAGGACTGAGGCAGTGCCAGCAACACGGATTTTTTAAGCCTGTGAACATCAAGACATCCCAGGTGCATAAAAGGACTGCAGCTTTTCAGTGCAGCAGAAGTAGTCAGTCATTGTCTTCTGCTTTTGGGGACTGAATGTGAAGACTAGCAGGATCTAGCAGCACTTCTGTCTCAAGTCCTGGTCTTCCACAGTGCAGAAATCCAGACATTTTTCATGCAATTAAGAATGGCTGAACAGTATCCTCAAATGAGGGGGTGGAGCTGGCCTGTTTAAGTCCCTAAATCAGTAAGCGTCTCTTGTTTTACCCACGTGAACATTTTTCTCCTTCTAGGCGAGTACACTATTATGACAGCCCATTTTCATCTGAAAAGAAAAATTGGTTATTTTGTCATCCAGACGTACCTTCCTTGCATTATGACTGTGATCTTATCGCAAGTGTCATTTTGGCTAAACAGAGAATCTGTCCCTGCTAGGACTGTCTTTGGTGAGTATCCCATTTTCCCCCAGCACGCGGGAAGGATCGGTCTGGCTTGTGGAAGTGATTTGTTGTAACAAAACCACAGCGCACTAATGCTTGAGATGAGATTTCTGCTTGAGATGTTCTAGACGTTCCCTTGTTCTCTTCCAGTTTAAACTCAAAATCCATTTAAAAACACTGGCTGGGCTTTTTTGGTAAAGATATGACAGAAATTGCTCAAGCATCAATTATATGAAGGTTAAGGACAGAAGACAGAAGAATCAGATTGGTGCGATTTGTGGGGGTTTTTTCCACTCAGGTAAAATACTGGATGGTTTAGAACAAAAACCCATACGTATTATCATATTTTGTGTATACTCTAGCTAAGCATTTGAAACAGATTTCACTTCAAGACATTTTGTTTATCTGTTTTAAGATGTTTATCTGGGAAAACCATGTAGAGGTTAATTAGTGACAATGATCTCTATTACCATCAAACAAATTAATATGATTTTGCATTTAGAAAATGTATATTTACTACAGAAGTTGTCATGGGAAAATCCTTTGGGGTCTCTTAAATTACTCGATTTATCACTAGAAGAATGCAGAAAGTAAACACAGTCTTGAGTGAAGGTTGATGAAATACAAAATTTTCATTAGATGAAAAATGAGGGGAGCGGGAACAGTTTATTATGTAAAACTTTGTTCAGCTGTTCTTAAAAGAGTCATTCTTCTGTACAAACCTACTGAAATCAGTCAGCAGCTTTGATCACAAATCAGTTCAGCAAGCTGTATGGGGAGACTACAGGTACCAGCATCGCTTTGCTGACTGGTGGTAGCCTTTCTAGGTTTACAAAGCTGTAACGGAGAGTTGAATTTTGACCTATTGGGGGCATCCTTCCACAGATGAAAGTAGTGGCAGCTCTGCCATTTACTGACCGATGTGAAAGGAGGAGCTACAGTCAAGGAAATCAATAACAGCCAACAATCTCATACACAAAATCCCCATGTGAGAAAATAAAATCCATAATCCCGCTTTATTATGCAGGTTACTGCTAAACGGGTTGCTCACTGATTTTATAATGTACCAGTTAATGAGGGACACTCTATACATACCATGCATCAGCATACAGGGATAAAATACCAGTAAGGTTTTGGTTTATGTAACAGTTGGGTTTGTGTTACCCTTAAAAATACTTATTTAGATACACTATAACTAGAGATAACCAGAACACCACAGAAGTAAACACCTGTATTTTTTCTCGGTGAGCAAAGTATCTTACTCTTTCGGACCGTAATACGCAAACACTGACTGACTTCATGTGGCCTTCTTAGGTATTGTGCTGAATTGGGGCCTGCTCATAACTCATTAGGGATCTCGTAAGGGCTACCAAACTGATCTCTGCCTCTTTTTTTTTTTTTCCCTCCTTTATAGGAGTAACCACAGTCCTCACCATGACCACCTTAAGTATCAGTGCCCGTAACTCTTTGCCAAAAGTGGCCTACGCTACTGCAATGGACTGGTTTATAGCTGTCTGCTATGCCTTTGTATTTTCTGCATTGATTGAATTTGCAACAGTCAACTATTTCACCAAGAGGAGTTGGGCATGGGATGGCAAAAAAGCCCTGGAAGCTGCTAAAATCAAGGTGCTTACCTTACATTTTTTAAATACCTAGAATAAAAAGCAGTTATTCAGCATAGCTCAAATAACTGAATGGACAATTTTCAGCTTCTTTGTGAAAAAGATACTTAATTACCTCATGACATACTTTCACCTTCCTATAGAGGAATATTTGCAAGGAAATATGCCTTCTTCTTTTCACGGAGATAGACTATCAGTCTCCACCATCTGTATGAAGTGGACTGTTTTCAGAAGGATATAGGGCATTGAGTACACGTGGCATGGGATTTCAGTGACCAAACTTCTGATAATTGCAGACATATACTATGAAACATATCTCTGCAGAGCACTCCCTATGCGCTCTCCCAAATAAATGACAAAGCTCACATCGAGCTCCATGAGTCAGGGACCCACCACAGGACCCAATAAAAAAGAGACAAAAGAGCGGTTCTGTGAAAACACAAACTTTTTAGTTTCACGCTGAAATGAAAATTTTGGAATAGGATGGACTATTCGCAAATGATCTCTTAGAGAGAGCTCGTACCCGCAGGCATCCTGAAAGAGCAGTACGAAGAGGGCAAGCTAGCAGGGGCAACGAGCCCTTCACCACACTCCTTGCTGCAGCCAGGAGGGTGAGGTTCGTGTCTTGGCAGCGGCCCGCAGGGCAGCAACCTCTGCAGGTGCAGGACCATGTCACCCTGACAAAAGAAGCCACTAATGCACTCGCCAGGTGGGATCCGGGTCCGGCCGGCCGCCCTTAGCTTTCTCTGGCGTCAGGGAAAGTTCAACCTGAGTAAGGGCTATACAACTGAGGCAGAAACAGCTGTTTGGGAGTCAAAGTCAGAATAGCCAACAGGCATTTGTTAGCATGATTGATTACGGTACTTAGATTTTTGGGTTAATATCTTGAGAACATGTCTCCACTTTCTGTTCCTGAGGTCTAATATTTTGTTCTTTACACTGCAGAAAAAAGAGCGCGAATTGCTGGGAAATAAATCAACTAATACTTACAGCACTGGGAAGATGACCCCTGCACCAAACATGCCAAAGGACTCAGCCCCATCTGTCATCTCAAATGCTGCATCTGCTCCAGTGAAGTCTGCAGAAGAAAAGCCTGCTGAAAGCAAAAAGACTTACAACAGCATCAGTAAGATTGACAAAATGTCCCGGATAATTTTCCCGGTGCTGTTTGGAACTTTTAACTTAGTTTACTGGGCCACATATTTGAATAGGGAGCCTGTTATTAAAGGTGCCAATTCTCCAAAATAAACTGAAGGACTCTTAAAGCCACGTGAGCCATACTTACAAAGCAGATGCTACCAAGGAAAATTTGGGATCCAGATGACTTTCTACATTTGGGCAATATTCTTCAGGAAGTTTTTTGCATGTTTAATAATATGTACAAATAATATTGCCTTGATTGTTTCTACATGTAACCTCAGATGTTTCAGAGACGATTATATTACTTACAGCAACAGATCTTTATAAAAGATCAGAAGACATTGAACATGGCTTCTTTGCTGCTGAGTATCTTGCATTGATAGTTTACAAATAAAATAAGTTATATTTTTTAACTGTTCAAGTGTACTACATATCGTGGTTTTTATACTTCAGATGTACAGTCATACAAATGTAGGCTTAACCTATATTTTACAGAAGAGCTCCACTATTGTCATCTGATAAGTTACTGAGTAACGCCGGTTGTAAATGTGCCAAATTATTAAGTGTAGGGCTATGTTCGAGCACCTTTACTGGTTATAGGTAGTGCATTACTCCACAGATAAAACTGCTCAGCCCAATTTTCATTGGAAGTTAATACAATGCAGTAAATCCTAATGGGGCTATGCTGATTTTCACTGCTTGAGCCTCTAGCTTGCAGTGAAGTAACATAGGGAGCAGGATGCTACTTGTGTAAATAAAGGTGGTGGAATCTTGCCCTTAAAAGAAAATGTGAAGTTTGTTTGGATTTTGCATTCCAAGGAACTTTCTCAAATGATTCTCAGTATTTATTCCAAAAATTAGAGATGCATTGCATGAAATTAACATAGATTAGGAACATACTTGTGCAAATAAAACTTTTAACAACAGTAGTAGACATTTTTATTAGGGTAAAGTAAATGATGTTTGGACATTTTCCCAAGAAGAAGATTGCGTTATATTAGCAGAGATTAACAGTAAAGAATTACAGTAATTCTGCAATAATTATTACTTGTTTCCCACAGTGAAAACCAATCAGCCAACACTAAGAAGTGTGATCAGAAAAAAAGACGTGCTTCATGACAGCAAGGTGTTTCAGTGACAATATTGACAGAAAGGTCTTTGTACTGTCCATCTGAAACTTTTCTATAAAACGCCTTGCTGCTGCCAATGTGTTTTGCTTTCACAATGAATGAGAAAATGCAATCTGAGTTTTCAGCTCTTTCCTCTTGGCATCCTTTCCTTGTTCCAGAAGCTTTTGTAATTTAATCTTAATGTTTAAATAAAAAATGCATTCAACATTTGATTGCAAAATGTCATTCTTATACTGGTTATCCTTTGAGAGAGACCAAAAAATCACCACAAGAGCTGGAAGAATTAATTGGGAAGCACACACGCACGCACTCGATCACATGTGCGTGCATGACGCATCCTCACTGTTGCCCAGAAAGGTACATACTGAGTGAATACAGTGAATCGGGATGTTTCAGAATTAGGTGCTATTTTGCTATGGAGCATCAGCCCCATGTTCTGTTCGAGGCAGAAAGGAGAGTTTGTGCTTCACTTTGAGGTGAGGGTCTGGTCCAGGACTGGGGAGCTGTCTGGGCTTCTTGTGTATCTTCTCTTCGTCCCCTTCATTCCTAAACATTGCCAAGAAAAAATCTCACACATCTATTCCTTTTTGCAGCTTTTCATTTGATGCTGTGGAATTAGAAATTTGCAAATTCTCAGTGGCCACAAAGAAGCCACGGGACTGAGCAGGTGACTGGAAGCTGGTAAAGAGGAGCGAGGGAGGGGCATGCCCATCTATTAGTTACAGTGCTACCCAGAGCCAAGTTGAGGATTTGGATCTCTGTTTCCATGTTGGCTTCCCACGTGGCTTTGGGCAGCCACACACCTCCTTGTTCGTCATTTCTTTGTTTTTAAAAGTGGGATAATGGTATCTGAATGCAAGGAATCCAGCCCTTTGGGGATCAAAAACAGTGAAAAACTGCAGGGCCTGTTGGAAGGCAAAACTTCCTACAGCCCCATGGCTATTTCTTTTCTTGCATGCAGGTTATTCCCGCGAAAAGGTAGGAGCCAACAAGATCTCCTCACCAAGTGCAACAGGGACGCAGTGCAGTGAAGTGCACACACATTGCACTGGGCGTCCCCAGTGATTCACTCACTGAGCACCTCCGAAACAGCTAAAAACACCTGGCGACTGGCAGAGGGGAGCAGATCTTTCTGCATATGCAAGACAGACCTTCTCAGCTGCAGTTTCTTCTGTCTCTTTCTATGGCCATAGAGATGTACAATGAATGCAGTGCTAGGCTCCTGGAGGCTGAATATCCAGTCGAGGAGAGGTGAGCCCAATCTGCTGTCAGGACTAGCAAACACAACAACTGCTCTTAGTCGGGATGTGCACACCTGGGGAACTTTTCATCTAACCGTTTGGTATGAGTGCACATTCCTCCTGCGGCAAGGCAAAGTGACCATGAAATGAGCGGCATGGTAGGGTCTTACTGTTAATCACTGAGGAGACTGCCTGCAGCCCTACATATGAGTGTTTGCTTACTGTCCTCGGCTCTTTCCTGTGGTTGATGATGATGGGGCCTGCCATTGACACTCATGGCAGATGGATGTGTGCTGGGTAACACATATGGGCAAGGCTTCTTCCTAGGAATCAGTTTACCAACAGCTTGCTATTTCCAGTCTCACCAGAATAACAGATGAGATGTAACTCTTACAATACCAGTGACACAGCATAAAGCACCAAACTAATCTTGCTCAACCAGGTGTCTGAGGATGATGGGTGGGCTGATGACGATGCATCAGGAGATAGTCCACATGATGACTTGCCCTTTTTTTGATCCCATATGTACACATGCTACCATGGTTTTAGCAGGTATGAATCAGTACCTGTAAGGTCAATTCTCTTCCCAACCATTCTCGCAGCCTACAGGTGGCACAGGCTCAAACTTTTTTATCACACATTATTATTTACGATAATATTAGCAATTGTAAAGTTGGATTCTGTTCATAAATATGAACATTACTTAACACTTCTTCCCCTCAGATATCAAACATACAAGTTACGTGAAAAAGATGGTGGTTTGGGTTTGGGTTTGGGTTTGGGTTTGGGGTTTGGGTTTGGGTTTGGGTTTTCCACAGGAAGATTAGGTAGTTGAAGGGTTTTAAAATAAAAACCGTTACTGGACAGCAATGTTCCAAAGATTAAGGAACTAATGGGACAGTCACTGACCAAAGCCAGGTTCTGTGGGTTCAAGTTCAATCTGGAGCGTGGGACTTCTGCACAGTTCTCTAAATAGAAACTATATCAGGTTCCTGAGATGCTGATTGCTAGAGGCTAGAGGAGTACTTGGAAGGAATATCATATATACATACTGTGTTCCTCTTATTCTTCCCAAAAAACATCTGCTTCTGGCCACTTTCAGGGGAAGGATACTGCGCTATCCAGACCTTTGTCCTGACCCCGTACAGCTACTCAACATATGTTCTTCTGCAAGAGAAGGCTGGAGTGCAGGAATGCCTAGTCAGACCCTTAGGCCGCTGAGTACTTGTGAAAGTGGCACCAGGGTGCTTCTGGGACAATATGGAGGCTGTATTTACTACACTGCTGAAAACTATGAGCAATCTGCAAACCTCCAGAGGACACCATGCATGGTAAAAGGATGTCTGAATACACAGGAATCCCAAAACAAGAAAGACTCTTTCCTCAAACTTCCACAAAAAGCCTCCAGTGTGAGGCTTTTCCTTACACAAAAGAGAAACTCAGAGCCATCTTTACAGCATCTTGTCCAGAGCCATTCTGTTTGCCCTGCAGGGTTTACCATGCTTGTTTTATTTGCTTACACCCAAGCCTGACTCTTACCCTGAATGGCTCAGCATCATTTTCCGGTGTCCATTGCAGGACTCAGTGGCAGGACCTCTAAATCTGACCAGTTTTACTTACATGGAGAGGCTCCTTGCCTTCACTGAATATGGAACTACCTGCAAACAGTGGAGTTGCACGGTCGCAGGATCAGGCCCTTTGCTTTACTTTGGTAAACAGTTTATTGGAGTTTACCTGATGTGTAGAGGACCTGATAATTACCTGCCAAAGGCATATGACACCACAGATATTTTATACATAAATCTCTTCCAGTTATATTGACTGTCGCTTTCTGTGTTTGAAGGTAAAGGCAGAAAATAATGATTAGAGCTCATTCTGTTATCGTGGATTTGCTAAACCAGGTTGAAATTTCCTGAAGAAACCGTCTATCTTACGTTTCTCTGAGAAGCCCACGCACTCCTAATCCATGCTGAGAACTGAAATGATAGAAGAAAAAGAAGCCACCTCGCAGCGTGTGCTCCTGCCTGAACAGGAGATGTTGTCCCATAGTTTGGGAGATGCTTCAATAAGCCGATCGATTCCAGGCTGGAATACTTAAATGCCACTGCCTCGCAATACACAACACCTAACAATTTAAATCTCTGCAGTCAGTGGAACTGTTTGTGTGGGAGACCATTACTCATTGATGGCATCTGAACTGTGGGAGATGGGAGCATTTCCCAGATCCTGCCTCAAAGTAAACACCTTGGCCTTGTCCTGCTCCAGGCTGGGGCGGTATCTGGATGTGCATCAACCTCCTCTGGTTTCCCTGGAAGGAGCCTGGGCCTTCAGGAGTGGGGTGAGCTGTGTCACTGTCCCCAGTATGGGTGAGCTGGGACCCTGCGGGGCACATCTACTTCACAGCTTAGTCATGGCCAAAGAGAGTAATAAATAGGAATTGCTTGTCATTGGGCTTTTCCTGTATGATTTCATGAAACAGGAGTTGGAAAGTGAATTACAACAATTCAGCACTGGAGAGTAAGTGTGTGCAGTTCTACTGCCAAATTTCTTCACTTGTGCCCATTAAGAATGAAAGAACAAGTCAAATACAATGGAAAAGGTTTTTATTTCTGATATTTGAGCTGTGCCAGCTTACTCCAAGGATGAATTTAGGCAACAATGTATTTTCTAAAGCTTAGCTCTCTTCTGTTATCTCCAATTGCGTTCTGCTTTTTTCTAAATGGATATGCCCTCTGTG